GTAGTTGTATTTGGAATTTTCGATGGTCAAACTGAAAAACGTAGATAAAATGTTATGTCCAAACACTCTCTGTTTAGCGCTATATTTGGGCATCTCTTTCTTACCCTCTTTTCGGGATTGATAGTTATGTTTCTTGCTATTACTGCAAAGCAAATGGTTCTTACATGGTTGCAGTGAATATAGAGTTTATACACATTGGTTCTTATAAAGCCATGTTGTTTAAGCTTTGATTTTTGTATATAATGTTCATTTCTTTGTTGCAAAACTTAAATGACCTGGTATGTTAGGCAAAAGACTATGTCTTCAATAGTGTAGTAACTGTCTATATTTAGTTGCCTCTTGAAGATGGCATGCCCTTTATTGGGCAGAATTTGAACTGCATATAGAGTTTATACACATTACTTCTTATAAATTCATGTTGTTTAAGCTTTGATTTTTGTATATAATGTTCATTTTGTTGTTGCAGAACTAGATGACCTGGTATGTTAGGCAAAAGACTATGTACTTGTCTATATTTATTTGTCCTCTTGAAGATAACATGCCCTCTATTGGGCAGAATTTGAACTTCATATAGAGTTTATACACATTGGTTATTATAAAGTCATGTTGTTTAATCTTTGATTTTTGTATATAATGTTCATTTTTTTGTTGCAAAACTAGATGACCTGGAAGTTTTTATAGTACAAACTCCCGTACATTTCTAATTTTGTCTCCTACCATGCCTGTTTATATAGACGCAAATGTATTGGCTGCTTCTAAGGACCCAAAGGATTTACAATAAACCCCCACCCAAACCAGGTACACACTCATCCATTTTTGACTCACCCGTTACATGTGCGTTAGCGTTACATTGTACACTCGTGCCTCCTCGTGCGTTTTATATTTTCATCCCATATTTTATTTTAATTAGTTTTGTAACAAATTACGTTTCATTATTTTTTTCCCTTGATTTTTTAATAAGCAAACTCCTATACTATTCTACTTTCTCTCCTCCTAGGACTGCTTACCTAGACGCAAATGTACACGCTGCTTCTATGGACACAAAGGATTTAAAACAAACTCCCACCCAATACAGGTATACATTCATACATTTTCCACTCACCCGTTACGCCTGTGCTATCGTTACTCTGTATGATGGTGCCTACTCGTGTGTCTCATATTTTCATCCCCTATTTCATCTAGTTTGTCGATCACCAGGACTCCCGCTATTGATGCAAATCAACTGTCTGGTATGGACCCAACAGCACATACAAAAAACCTCGGCCACTCCAGGTATACATACATAAGTTTAACCCTTGCATCATTCATTGGATTTCTCACCCTCACACCCTTCCCTGGATTTAATTCACCCCTTAAATCGTAAAGCTGTTTCTCAAATCTGTACATATGCAGGCATATAACGAATGCTGAAAGAACTGCATCCACTCCTTCAAATCTAACCCCTCTTACAGAACTGTCAGGTAACTCCCACATTATAACTTCTTCTTCTTCTTTATTTCGACTTCTTTATTGTTGTTCACCGTTAACATTGTCTCCTTCTTACTTCTTAAACAGAACTACCTCCAAATCCCGTGGAATGGGAATACGCGCACCTAGCAAAATTGAGAATCAGCTACCTACGGAGACAACACGCCCACATAAGGGCCTTTATTCATTCCACAAACCTTGAAGAACCATCAGGAGTTAATTAACAATGGTTGCGGAACCAATGCCTTATGTTTTAATACATTCTTATCTCCTTTTTACCTTATACCTTTGCTGCCCTATTACTTCCCAAACTTGCCCTAACTTGGTTAACATTGGAAGTGTGGTGGCAATGTCAATTTATTTTAAACAACTCACTTCCTATTATCTTTGTATTATGTTACAACTTGGCTTTTAATGATATATATCCTTAAGTAAATCTTTTGTTCCTTCATTAACATCATTTTACCAGAACACGCTGTCACAAAGTTGATTACATGCTAATTTAATTTATGTCACAAACTTGTGTACTTCCTCCAACATCATTTTATCAGAATCCGTAGCCCAAAATTTATTAAATGAAGTATTATTTGATGTAAATGTCAACGTTAACCATCTATAGAATACGTTGACAAATCATCCTTTGATACCATTCTACTTTTCGTTGCCACGATCCTTTCAAAGTGCCCATTAGTGCGCGTAACATTCCAAACTTTGTCGGATTAAAAAACTTTCTACAACTGCATCTACAAATTTCTAAGAGCAAACTAGGCTACATAGGGGAATTTGTCTTTAAATAAGTTCTTTGACATTTATGCCATCACATTGCTACCCTTTACCTTCCAATACCTCGCTCGTACCCCTGAGATTGCTTAGCATTAACAGTGTTGTGGAAGTATGCTCCTCTGTTCATTTTGTTTATGCATCACTTCTTCTCACATCTTTCACAGAATTATTTGTTCCGCATCAACTTTGTTATGATGTGAATTAAATGTCTCCATTTGGAGAAACAAAATGGTGGCAGTGTAGGCTCTTGATTTGACATATATAATGAAAGAAAGGCAAGTAACAACACCCAAGCACAAACTAACAAGCAGTTAACTGACAGAAAAAAAACAAAGACTTCATCTCAGGGTGTGATTGGAAAGAATGGTGAGATATCTAGCGAAAGCCTTACCGATCTCAACCCTGGTGATGAACGAACAGAGATCAAGAATACTGCACCTCCTGATTTCTTCACGTCAATAGAAACTGAAGAGATTACATCTTTGAGGGAAAAAGGTAACCTGAACAAGGATGAGGATGCTTCTTTATCTGAAAACTTATCAGATACCTTCATTAACATCATTTTACCAGTACAAGCAGACTAAATGGTCATTTGACACGCTATATACACTCAAACCTTATACCGAAGAACAACCACTATCGTGTTTCATTTGATTGCCCTCATAAAACTTGCATAATTGTTATGACTGTTATAATACCCATATCTTTATTAGGTAACAAACTTGTATCCCTCATTATTTTATCAGACTACGGTTCGATAATTATTTAATCGAATATTTATTATTTTCAAATTCAACCCTAAATGGCTTTAAAATATGTTTATGAAACGTCGATACAGATATCTTCCAATCTCGGAATCCAGCAAAACTGATGACACTATCAGTCAACCTTAACTTTACGTTGGCCTGTGAAAGTCCACTTTTGTCTCCCAAAAATACCATTTGTTACCGCATCTTAAAACTCTTTACAATTGCAATTACAAATTGCATGCTTACAAAAGGTTACCTGGGCGACTCCAACTTTAAATAAGATCTTCCGCATTTATAAAATGTGTATATAATCAAAGTTCATTAATTTAAAGATTTCAAACAAAATAGAGTATTAAAAAACAAAGTTTTCACACTAAATCCCAGATTTAAAACTTCATTTTTATCTGGTTTGAGGTTAAACCAATAAACTATAGAGAATTAATCCATCATAGTAAATCATAGTAGTGATTTTTTTCCCTAACTGTTGACGACGGCTATTCAGTTAAGAGGCAAGACAATTTCTTGGACACTTTTGGTATCACTGAGTTTACCCTCCCTCTACCTGTAATTGGATGTATTTTAAGAGGGAGCGAGAGAATAAAACGTTAACAAATTAACATGTTTTTACCTCCTAAGTCCAATCAATGCAAAGGCCCATGCCTTCAGTCTTCTATGTATACCTCACAAGTCTCTTTTTAAGTCAACAACATAGCATATCTACGACTAGGCGGGCTTAGTTTGATTTGCTTAATTATTTGATCAAACTCAGGGCTATTAAAGCCCAATATGGAATGAAATTCCAACCCACTAATTAAACCTGCAACTAGCCTATTTAATACTACAAACACGGCTCCACGTATTGTGATAAAAAAACAGCTCTTCTCAAAGAATGTGTCACTTCCTAACATCTCTTGCTAAACACAACTTATGGACCCAACGGTTGTTCCAAATTGCGCCTCTTCGTAAATGTACTTCCAAAACAATGTGTCTCTTCCTAACGGTTGCAACCCTCTTTCAAATTCCCTCAATATCTATATAATGCCTTGCAGACTCCTAGACACCCATTAACGATAACCCCTTTCTGCCTTCCTTTAAAAGCACACAATTCTTCTTCCTCTAACCTTTAATTGTTACAACCATATGTCCTATTCACTTCTTTTAGATTTGGATACTACCAGGGATGACTGGTTGGTTAAGGTACGAGTTTGCCGTATGTGGGAATTTAAAAACTACAAGAGAAGCAATGAAATGATAAGTCTAGACATGATAATTATTGACGAAAAGGTAATACCCCTTTCATTTCAACTTTTAACCACATTGTTGTTGGTCAGGTTATTGCGGATGCACTTACCAATTGACATGTAACAGGGAACTTTGGTACATGCGGAATTTGGAAGAATCAAGTCAACCGGTTTCGTTTTAATTTAGCCGAAGGCTCTGTGATCATTATCAAGAACTTTAAGGTCGCTGAAAGTATGGGTGAATACAGACCCGTACAATCTGATTTTAAAATCACTTTTCTGCGGATAACTACATACAAAATATAAAGGATGATACTGTTAATATCCCTAAAAATGGCTTCCAGTTTATTCGGCCAAACATTGTTCGCTCACGGGTCAATAACAACACCTACCTATCAGGTAAACTTTTACACTTCAATTATCTAATGCACATTCATCCCCGTATGTACTTAATATTCTCCCTATTGAACTTGTAGATGTGGTCGGATGCTTATGTGGAATAGGTGATCTAGAGAGTGTTGGTTCAAAGTGGAAAAAACGAGACCTTCACATTCTTACTGATCTGTAATTAACAAATCTCATCTGATTATTTTCACTTATATTAAGTAACCCCAAAAAACAAGCATAACACTAACAGGTTACGTTGTTTTTTTAGCGAGGACAGGTCTGCCAAAGTCAAAACAACCCTTTGGGAGGATTATGGTGAAGGATTTTACCCGTACTTATTCCCCCTGAATCCGGTCCATACATTGTCATTATTATGGCAACAACGGTGAATGAATTCAGAGGTAAATACTATTACAGAGCATATCAGTTAAGTGCAGTTTTAACGTCATTAGGTCAACGTGACGTGTAAAGCTTATTTTGTAACAGGTGAAATTACTTTTGCCACCACAGCAGCAACCAAAACGTATGTGAATCTTCAAATGGACCACATTAGCTCATTGATTCAAAAGTTTGCAACCAAACCCGTTCACATACAAACAATTGAGAGTGATAATAGAAGTAACATACCTATTGCGGAGGCAATGTTCCAGAACCGGATGACTATTACTGAGTTGCTGGATTCGGACTGGAGTTATGACATAGAGGTTAGTACATTAAGCAACCTCCGTACCTTACGAAAAATACATTAGATCAACAGGCTTCGACTGCATATTGAACTAATTTCTTTTCAATTACTAGGAATGTTTTGTTACATTGCGTGCTCAGATCAGTCAAATAGATACCTACTTTGGTTGGCACTACATATCGTGCAACTTATGCAACAAAAAAATAGAACCTAAAGATGGCGTCTACACCTGCAATAAGTGCGGAAAAGAATGTGACTTCCTATTGGTTAGGTATGAAAACAGTTAACAATCTACCACATGCGTACTTTTATTCAAACACTAATTATTTATGGCACACACAGGTACAAGATACACATTAAGGTAAAAGACAACGGAGGGAAGACAACTTTGGTTCTTTTTAATGGGGTTGCGGAAAAGTTGCTCGATACTTCGGCTTCTAAGTTGGTAAATCGAATGTCCAAAGGTGATATGCATGTTCCATCGCTAATTGAGAGCCTCTGCGGCAAGGATTTTGTATTCAAGCTTAAATTGACCAACTTCAATTTTAAAGAGGGGTTGGAAAATTAGACGGTTTCAAAAGTGTTAGTGCCGGATGAAGAATTGGAATTGCAACACCGCATTAACAAAGAAAAAAAAGTAATGTTATTAGTCACAATTTAATACCTATCTTTTTTATTCATTCATCATTGATTTCCAAAGCTAACCATCCAACTTACATCCCCGTTAATGCTAAATATGCATTTTAAACTACAAGAAAAACTCAAAATGAAAGAGATGCAGAACTCACATGTGCAAAAGGCAGGAGGTTCACACACAAACAACTCAGAAGAACATCCGGACAACGGGGAAGGGACTTCCAATGGCAACACAAGAGTTTATGCAAGAAGGCTGATAAAGAAAAGGAAGCACTTCATACACCTTGATAGAGAAAGTGATGCAGACACCTAAAAAAAATGCACATTTAGAGCCTAAGTTACAATTAAATATGCTATGGACCGTAGAAGTATTATTGTAATCAACTAGCTCCTTATTTGTTTGTCATGGTATTATTAATTTACGAGTACATACTTGGGTGATTTAATAGCAAATGTTGTTCATCTGTGGAATGATTGGGTATTATGTTTTCTCAACTCCCAGAAATATCGCACTAAAAAATGTGTATGTATTTACAATGTGTTCATGTCCACCTTCTCTTGATTATATGAAGTCTACCTTCTAATAACCAGTTAAAATACAAAAGACAATGCGAGAACCTAATGCACGTCTCTAATTTAGACAAAAACTACGCATATAGAAAGCAAGGTTCGAGGCAAAGTACTCCATTCTTTTGCTTTTTTGTTGCCCCGTGTTGAAATAGATTAGATTACCTTGCGTATAGTTACCACAATGTCATTCTTACTAACCCACACTACAACACCCAACCATACGATAACCACAAACAGGGGTTTACGAATCTCAAAACAGACAATGTGTACTACCGCATCCCGGTGTGCTGCCAGGCATTTAGATTTTTGCACAAACGAGTTGTACAATCCAATACCTTCACCGGAATCTAACTCCACAAAATAAACACAATTCACATCAACTGAAACTAAAATGAGAACTATAATAGATAAACCCCCAATGTATTCGATAACGTAGATATAATAGAAATAAATAACACCATATACCACCACTCATTTAAAAAAAAATTCACATATCACTGTTAAAGGCATAATTACATTCAATATGAATAAGGCCTCAAACGGTGTGTCCTTTAATTTCACTTCCTTCCAGTTACTCGCTATTTATAATTCAAAAACAACGTATTCACCAATGAAATAACACACCACCCTTAATCCCCAAAACGTTGTCCAATAACCAAACAATGTCGACGCCGACTATGGGTACAACAAACGCACGAAAAAGGACACAATTAGTGTGTCCTTTCACGTGGATAGTACATGCCGCTTCAAATAAGAAAAAAAAACCCACAAAAAAAGGTACCAAATTGTATGTCCTTTGGCTTGCTTAGTACATGCCGCTTAAAATTTGAAAAAAAAAACAACATCCAACTACACATTACAACAAGTATTATGAATCAGATCCTACCTATTCTTACCGTTGAAATAACATACCACCATTACTCCCAAAATCTCTTGCCATTACTCAAACAACGCCGATGCGTTCTAACAATACAATTGTTGCACAATAACGGGCTAAACAATGTGTCTTTTGGCTAACTATAAACATGTTGCTTGGAATTTCATAAAACACTCAACTGCCAGTTGCTCGCTACAACGACTATTACAAAAAAACACCAACCTATTCTTACTGAAATAGCATACCACCCTTATTTCGACGATATCTACCCATAACTCCAACAATGCCGATGCCTTATAAGAATTCAAGTGCGCCCCGTTGATAATTCAATACCGATCGGATTGGCCGGTAATCATAATACAGAAATATACAAGCCAAATTTAACCACCCAACAACGACAAAATCAAGCGCTTAGCAGGGACTGTTGCCTGATACATACATTAAAATATAATTCAAAGAACCAAATAAATAGCACTACACTATACCCCGATCGATAACAACAGCCCAGGTGAGTCAAGGTAAAGTACCACAACATCACTTGAATAATATAAAACAACAGGTAAATTGGGATGGCCCACTGAGTGCATTCACCACAAATTTACGTGTAGTTGTTCCAAATATATGCCTCATCTGTAAATGAGACAAATACACATTTTTAAAAATTAAAGGAAATATTCGTTACAGCAACACAACTTTAGGATACAAACTCCCTTATGTTGCACTGAATTTTGTAAGCTTATATATAATTTTTCAACATTACAGATTACCCGTCGTCTCTGCTAGCACAAATCAAGCTTTACAAATAACATTCGATCAGACATAATGGATGTCATATCAGACATAATTAAGGTGTTTAGAAGGCCTGCTGATGTACCCGCCCATATTAGGAAACTGCAACAACTTCTGCCTCTTTTAGCAGTCCAAGACAGCATGTTGAAACAGAGAATACAGAGTTATACATCGTCATCAATCTCCAGCCAAGGGGTTGTTGAAATATGAAAACTCAAAAAAATTCGAGGAAAGTATGCGCGTTTAAAGCGTAAGCTCACATTACTTCAACGGCAATACAAAGGTTATCCACTGAAGCAAGCAAAGGGTGTTCTATATTACATCAAAATCTTGGAAAATGTGGTGCACGCAACAGATATCAGAACGCCAGAAATGCATCGACAAATATAGGGTAAGTTGCTATTGATCCATATATCCACTGCACAACTCCCAAGCAGATTTACCAAATTGAACTACTAACTACGTATGTCAATCCCACACCTAAACATTACAACACAGAAGGAATGAAAGACATCTCCCCATTAATCAATACTAGCACGTTATAATAGTTGCTACCGATCTTTCCCATACACTTACATTATGTGAAACTCTTCATGCCTCATTACAGTAGGAACATAAATACAACGTAATATTAGTCATGCATAATAACGTAGACATAGTATATACTTACAGATGAATCCAAGATGTATTATACTGAGTAACAATTTTTTTAATAAACATCTTCTCAGGCGGACACTATAACCAATCCAATGACTCAGTTATGGAGGAATGTGCAGACGTCTCACATGTAATGCATCCGCAGACAAGTAGTAGCAGACAAGCCAGTCAGAACAATACAGGTGCATCTGTCACGCAAACAACAACACACATAATAACATATACACATAACCCTGTATTGGTTACAAAACTTCATTAATCATGAATTCAATACTTATATCGTCTCCCACCGGACTTATATGACAGCTGGATACAAGGCAAGATTGATTTTGGGCCCTCCAACCTACACCTGTCAATATTGTCAGTCAATTTTGTGGTATGAAGAACGGACAGACAAAAGTAAAAATACACGACAACCCAAATTTGCACTTTGTTGTATGCAAGGACGAATCTGTGTACCATTACTGACTCAACCACCACCGTACCTCAAATATCTATTGGGCACTGAATTCGGAAAAGTGGGGATGAACTTTAGGAAAAATATCAGGGTATATAACTCCATGTTTGCATTTACATCGATGGGAGGTCGAGTTGACATATCAATCAATCGTTCTAAGGGTCCTTATGTATTTAGAATAAGTGGGCAAAATTATCATCATATAGGCTCACTATTACCAAAAATTGGAAAAAGTCCACAATTTGCACAACTTTCTATATATGACACGGATAATGAGATAGAGAATAGAATCAAAAGTCTGATGCATGAAGAAGTAGAAACATAAATTGTACAAGGAATATCTGAAATGTTGGAAGAGCATAATGTTTTGGTCAAATCATTTCGTATGGCAAGGGATAGATACAGAGAACAACCACAAGCAGAGTTTCGTATACGCATCTTATCTGAAAGGACTCAAGATGGCCGACAATACAACAGACCAATGGCTTCTGAAGTTGCTGGATTAATTGTAGGAGACCTTACAGATGCTAACTTCCAGCGAGATGTCATTGTGGAACACCGCAAGAACGGACTGCAAAGGATCACAGATTTACACCCAAGTTTCATGTCGATGAATTACCCATTAATACATCCATATGGGGAAGATGGATATAGGCTTGGAATACCTTTAGATTCTGAGAGTAAAAAAACATACACTCGGACAAACTTGACAATGAGATAATTTTATGGATACCGCATACAACAACGCCTCAATGAGGGACACACTCTACTCTTAGCTGGCAGGCTATTGCAGCAGTACATTGTGGATGGGTACATGGCAATTGAAGAAGAAAGATTTAGGTATATCCGGAAAAATCAACAGAAATTAAGGTCTGATCTTTATGGTGGCTTAATGGATACTATTGTACGTGGAGATTCAGATTGCTCAATAGTAGGAAAAACTATTATACTACCTTCCTCCCACACTGGAGAACCTCGCTACAGGGCACAAAATTATCAAGATGCAATGGCTATATGTCGGTGGGCTGGATACCCAGATTTGTTCCTGAAATTTACTTGCAACCCAAAGTGGCCGGAAATAAATGCAATGACGAGACTAATAAACCAAGATCCTAATGGTTGCCAGGTGGACGAGTCTTCCAGATCAAGTTATTGCAGCTAATGCGGATTCTTAAAAAGGATAAGCCTTTCGGGACAATAATTGCGTGTAAGATATGACAATCAATAATCTTCAATATTGTCTTACTAAATCACAAAAAATGCGATCTCAATGCTTTTAAATTACAATATAGGTACATATATATGTGCAACCAAAAACATGGAAGATTATCACATAATCTTAAACATGTGCGCACAAGACCTAACCATAACTCCTACAAAGCTTAATTACTAAGAATTACATCACTTCTTTATGAATACAAAATATCTAGCAACCAATTCACCTAACCAACATGCTAATCCCGTCCACATACTAATTTGTTTACAGGTATATATACAATTGCGTTCCAGAAAAGAAGCTTGCCACATGCTCATATCCTGCTTTTCCTTTATGAAACACAAAAAAACCCAACAACAGATCATATCGACAGAGTAATATCCGCTGAAATACCAGATTACACAGAAAATCCAGATGGGTATAATGCCGTGAAGAACTTCATGATGCACGAACCGTGCGGAGAACAAAATCCCAGTTGCCTATGTATGAAACAAGGCAAGTGCACAAAATATTTTCCAAAGAAATACAATGACTGAACAAATTTTGATTCAGATGGATTCCCTATTTATATGAGACGGAACACAGGTATTGAAGTCATGAAAAATGGTGCCAGCTTAGACAACCGATATGTTGTCCCATATAACAGGGACTTGCTTGTCCAGTTTGATGCACATATAAATGTTGAAGTATGCAATTATGCGAGGTCGGTGAAGTACCTCTTCAATTATGTTCATAAAGGATCTGATAGAGCCACAACAATAATAGAATCAACAGGGACACCAATAGAAAATGATGAGATAAAAAAATACCTAGATTGCAGATACATATCGGCCACAGAAGCTTGCTGGAGGATCTATTCATTTGATATACATCACAGGCAACCAGCTGTTGAGCGCTTACCATTTCATTTACAAGGGCAAAACACAATAATATTTGAAGAATCAAGGACAGCTGAAAGCGTACTAAGCAGACCCGATTTAGAAAAAACAAAATTTACAGAATGGTTTGAGGCAAACAAAGAATACCCTGATGCAAGAGAGCTGACATATTCTGATTTTCCAACGCGTTGGGTTTGGAATGGAAGAGACAAACAGTGGACCAGAAGGAAGAAAGAACACGCAGTTGGCAGAATTTACTTTGCACATCCAGGAAGTGGAGAACGTTTTTACATGCGTATGCTACTAAATTTTGTCAAAGGGTGTACTTCCTTCGAAAGCATCAGAAGAATCAATGGAGTAGATTATAAGACATATAGAGAGGCCTGCTACGCTTTGGGGTTATTAGATGATGACAAAGAGTGGAACGACTGCTTGTCTGAGGCGGCCCAGTGGGCTTCTGGAAACGAGTTGCGACATCTCTTTGTTACTATATTTATGAATTGTCAGGTGTCAGATACACGTAAGCTATGGGAGAATAACCATGCAATATTATCTGAAGATATCATGCATATCCAGCGAAAGAGATTACAATTCAATGGTTTACAGCTAAACACAAAGCAGATTGAAGCGTACACACTATTTGAGATTGAAAGCATCCTTCTAAAGATGGGGAGAAGTTTCAAAGATATAAAAGGAATGCCCCTTCCAGATTCAGCATTAATGCGAAATGTAGGGAATCGCCTAATCAATGAAGAGCTAGACTACGACAAAGACAAGCTCCAAATACTCCATGATCAATCACTCGCTATGTTAAATACTTGCCAACGTGCGGCATATGAGGCAATAATAACATCAGTTCATAACGAAGAAGGGAAATTATTTTTTATACACGGCCATGGTGATACGGGTAAGACATTTCTGTGGAATACAATTATTTTGAAGATCAGATCACAATAAAAAATCGTTCTCCCCATCGCTACTTCGAGTATAGCAGCTTTATTATTACCAAATGGTAGGACTGCTCATTCACGCTTTCATATTCCTCTAGACATCACACCAGAGTCAACATGTGAAATCAAACAAGGCAGTCAATTAGCAGAATTACTTAAAAAGACCGCTTTGATAATATGGGATGAGGCACCAATGGCAAACAAATTGTGCTTTGAGGCATTAGACAGAACCTTAAGGGATATTCTCCAAGATAGGTATGAAAATAGTGCCATGAAACCTTTTGGGGGCATAACTTTCGTATGTGGTGGTGATTTTCGCCAAATACTACCGGCTATTCCAAAGGGAACAAGAGGTGATATTGTGGATGCAGCGCTGAACTACTCACAGTTGTGGCCCTACTTCTCAATTTATAAATTGACGGAAAATATGAGAATTAGCTGTGGAAAAGTCAGGGGTTCTGAAGCACGAAAAATAACAAGTTTTGATAAATGGCTTTTGCAAATTGGAGATGGATCAGTTTATGCAGATAATAAGAAGGACCTCATTCATGTGCCCGCTGATGTATACATTCTAACATCGCACAATCAAATAGAATCCATTGTAGAGGCAGTATATCCGTCCCTGCTACAGAACTATAACGACCTATCCTACTTGAAAGAAAGAGCCATAGTCACACAAAAAAACGAAATGGTCCATGAATTGAATGAGAAAATTCTGAAGCTGATACCTGAGGAAGGAAGAACTTACTATAGCTCAGACAATGTGTGCAAAGCAAGCGTGAATACTAATAAGGAGGATATATTGTACCCAACAGAATTCCTAAACAACTTACGATTCCCAGGTATCCCAAACCATGACATTCACTTGAAAGTAGGAAGTCCGGTTATGCTGCTTAGAAATCTAAATCAAATTGAAGGCCTATGCAATGGTACAAGATTAATAATAACACATATGGGTATTTGGTTTATTACTGCAAACATAATCTCTGGAAAGAACATCGGTTCAAGAGTCACAATACCAAGAATTATCATGTCACCAAACGATTCAAATTGGCCGTTCAAGCTCAACAGGCGCCAACTTCCTTTAGCACCCTGTTATGCTATGACCATCAACAAGATCCAAGGGCAGACTCTTCAAAGAGTTGGGTTGTATCTGCCAAAACAAGTATTCACACATGGTCAATTGTATGTAGCAGTATCACATGTAACAACAAGAGAAGGATTGACAATTGTCAATGCGGACGAGGACACATATGACCCTACATACATAAAAAAATATTGTTTACACGAAAATCTTCCAGAACGTCGGCCCAAGAATAGTGCAAACTGAGGAGGTATTTCTTAGCAATTAACTGTTTGGTATGGCGATTATAAATATACATTACACCAAATAATGGCCTAACTAACTTCTTGCAATGACTCATGTGCAGATAAACATCCAAACTAATGAGGATTCGTGATGGAGGTGTAATGCAAATGCAACACTTGCGTGCAGGCCTAACTAATACAAGAGAGACCAGTGCAGCTGCCTATGGAATTTAATAGTACATATTACATTCCTGATAAGGGCGCCTATGATAGACGACCTTCACGGAAAGCGCTGATTTGAAAAGCTAAAAATAAGAAATTAATGTCCTGCTTACTATTTCTACTTGCAGAAAAAATATGAGTCCTCTTTTACAAACTTAATATTGAATGATTCATGTACTGCCACAAATATGTAACATTTAACTATACACAATGCATACGTAGGGGCCTTATTACATAGACAACCATCATATATACCTTTGTATATAATGTGCATAGTTTATACACATGTACGCAGAGCCACCAACAAACAATATGTAGCAACTTTGGGACTACGAAAATTATATGGGGGTGAAAAATAATAGTGATGTCGGTGTAAGATTGGAGCATTGCACAGAATAGTGAACTGTATTGATCAGGTAGAAAAATGATGTCCGTACAAATATGTGACGACTAAATATAAAGACCATCAAGAAACCTCAAACGTTAAAGTGCATTAATTAATTGAATGTTTGACAACGAAACATGGAATCACATTACAACAGTTAAACAACAAGTAAAATAATGCCAGTCTACGACACTTCCAAAAATTGACCGCATCTTCACTTATGCTTCTTCAACATATTATATAGTCGAATAAAGCCCAACTCGGACTCGCGCGAAGCGCGGGTGGGTTCCCTAGTAATATAATAATTGGAATAAACCAACAATTTTATATTGAAATATATGCTCCATAAAACAAGACAATGCCATGCACACGACTAGCAAGTATTAAACAAGTTTATCTATTTATTATCCCCAAAATATCATTATTCTAAACTAGTTTGTTTCACCATTGATTTCTCCTATGCATATGCAAGTAGATTTTAATATTTTCATGGTAAAAATATACATCCCAATAAAACTAATTTACTTCATTGATATGATCAACATATGATTTGCTGCTAATTTGTAATGAATTAACTTTATTATCCCTCCAAAGACCCACACACGCACACAATATCTTTATTGATCATTTCGATTGATAGTTTTATAATCTTTTGAATACTATAATGAGATAATTAATATATACATAAAGTAATCAGTTTACTGTAAATATAGCCATGTTATTTGCATAAAGAATAGTTAAAAGTCATAGAAAGTATACAATGATTATACATTATGATACATTCAAAAAGCTAAATGTAGCTTAGCTATACATTAACTATACATTATGATACACTCAAAAATCTAAATATTACTTAACTATACATGAAGTATACACTGACTATTTATTGAACTAATTTTTTTTCAAATATTTGTTAGACTAATTACAGGAGAAGAAGGAAAAGGATGAGAAATAGTTAAAGGATAGGTTATGATATTTTCTTTCTTAGTAAAATATACATCCCAATAAAACTGTTTTGCTTTATTGATATGTTCATCAACATTTTCGATTGATATTCTTAGGAGAAACTATATCATTAGACATACTTCAATAAGATATATATGATCATTACCTATATTTTTAAAATATTACGTATTTTATCATTAATTAAGAATTTTCTATCATATATTGAGGAAGATATAGCTAGATACATGTATGACTACTAGATACACTACAATATGGAGAGAGGCGGGTGAGATTGGGAGGGAGGAGAGTGAGATAGCCATGTATCTGGAATACCCGATATATAAGAGAGTGGTGAGCGAGATAGGAGGGAGGAAAGGGAGGTGAGCGTGATGTATTATGTATCCTAAATACATGTGAATCACTTGGATACAGTGTATTTAGAATAAATTACACATAATTTTGACTCCATGTATCCCGAGATATATGTATCTGAACGTATTTGGTCGCATAAAAATCTAGTAAGATTCGTAATATTGCAAACTAGAGTGTATCTAAGTAATTAGCTCCTAAACAAATACGATTTACCTAAGTTTCCAATATTTTTAGGATAAATTAGCTAACTAGTCAAAATCCCTAACATCTATCTATATATCTATCTATATATAATAGGAGAAGAAAAAGTGTCACGTGTTAGCCCCACAAAATTTGTAGATATATTAAATAATAAATAACAATTTAAATAACAAAACATTTTTTTTAAAAAAAACAGAAATTAAAAACGGTTTTAAAAATTTGTTTACGTTAAAAAGCTGTTGTATTGATCTCTGTTTTTGTTTAAATAAATTGAAATTTTTTGTTCCTAATAAAATGCTAACCACCTATTTTTTTAAATAAATTTTAAAAATCTATCTATATATAAAAGGATAAGAAAAACTGACACATGTCAACACCACAAATTTTCAGTATTTTAAATAATTAAAATTAATTATTTTTAAAATCTACATATAAAGCAATTTATGTTTATCAGGTTTCTTTTAACAGACAATTAACTTTTTACAATTTTTAAAACAATCGGATAATGATGTAAACTTACAAGCAGTTACTTTTACCGTTTCAAACTTTAATAGATAATGAATCACATATTTAGGAATTAATTTTCATTTGAGAAGTCAATATACGCTTCAAATATTCACTCCTTTCGGTACATGCATTGTATTGTTAATATGCATATCTTTTTTCCTGTTTCTTTTTTGGAATTTGGTGCATACTGTTTGGAATTTTAATCCAAGACATCTACTCAACAAGTTATACCACTTTATTAATATGTAATAATGTGTTTAAGTCTTTTAAATTATATAGATTGTTTCTCTAAAAATAGTTATTTATTGTATATTTATAATTCAAATGGGTGAGTATCAATATTTTTTTAAATATATACGTTTTTCGATAAAATATGCCTACTCGGGATGAAATTATCAATAATAGGCAATGGAGGTTGAAAGTTGGAATTGTACAAAGATGAAACTTATCCGATCACAAATATTCACACATCTTATTCTTCATTGGCAGACTCTCCAAGGTAAGAAGGTAACAAACTATTTTTTAGTTATTTTTTCATCTATTGCTCTTAGATTTCTCCGTTGTATTATATTTTGATAGATTTTCTGTTAAAGAATGACAAAAAGTCTCACATCAGTGATTAATGAGATGGGTGGACTCCTTATAAGGCTTGGGCAATCCTCCTCCCTTTGAGCTAGCTTTTGGGGTGTGAGTTATGCCTAAGACCTAATTTAACATGGTATCAGAGCAGGGCCCGTCTCACCTGATGTTGGGGCCCCCAAAATCAAAAATTGCCCACGCACCAGATGCTAAGCACTGGGCGTGAGGTGGGGTGTTAAAGAATGACAAAAAGTCCCACATCAGTGATTAATGAGATGGGTGGACTCCTTATAAGGCTTGGGCAATCCTCCTCCCTTTGAGCTAGCTTTTGGGGTGTGAGTTAGGCCTAAGACCTAATTTAACATTTTCGATCTATTTTTTTTTTTGTAAAATTTATTTAGTCTACGCTACTCTTTGTTATGTGTATTATTTTGTGGAATTTCAACAAATACAACACAAGGAACATAAGTTTATTTCACAAAATTTAACACAATTATTCCACGGAAAAAATTATACTCATTATTTTAGTTATATTCTTAATCCTTAATATAGTTTAAGGACGTATAAGATTTTAGAGTTCTATCATTTCATATATCCGTACATATTATTTTTCATCAAAGTATTACTGAAATCGTAAATAAATAGCTTTTGTTATTTAAAAAAATAATCGATTTAAAAATTGTATATTTTTGTCATTGAATTTTTAAAACTTAAAAGTAACTTCTCATATTTGAAGTAACCCACACCTTTGCTCACGACTACGGATATAGTTGAGTAAAAACTAAGGGGTATTTTGAGGACAACATCAATCTGTGATTGAGATACCGACATTTTCTCCACAACTATTTATTTTCCTACCCATTTGCCCATGGAGTATATAGAGATACGGATCAAACTAAATAAGATATTAAAAATGAAAAAAATATGTCTGTTTTTTCAATATCTATCTATTTATAACTATTTTTGATAAACATGTGAGCGAAAGTAAAAAAAAAATAATAATAAAAAAAAGAATCGTACACAATTGAAAAAAATAATCAAAAATACATATGTAAAATATTTAAATTTGTATTACTTTTTTAGTATTAAACATTTCATGTGAAAAGTTGAAATTTGATTATTATTATTTCTGTAAAAGAAATAAATAGCTTTAATAAAAAGATGAGACTTATAGTAAATTAAAGGGAATAGAAGATGATCGGTTCTTTTCATATTTCGGATTCTTAATTAATAATATTATATTTGATTAAATAAAAATTATCCTATTGTACTTGATTGAACTAGAAAGGAGATTGCTAAAGAGGTTACAATATATTTTGCAATAATTTGAATTATAGCTAAAACTAGAGTTATGATTTTCTTTAGTAGGTTAAATTATTTTCTTTTTAATTTAAAATGGCGTTCACAGATATTACATATAACTTTGTCTTCATTATGTATTGAAAAACCTTTTTTAATTTAAAATATTACATATAACTTTTTCTCTATGTTTCTCTATGAGAATTTAGTTATTCCAAAAATTTACAAAGTCATAATAATTTTTTAATATCACGAAAATATTTTAATGATAATCATTTGATTTTTTGTATTTTAAGAAAATTATAATTATAATTTTATGATTATTTATCAGTTTAATTAACTTTTGAAAAGAATTTGTATATGGTATAGAAAGAGGAAGCATCCTGATAAAATAGAGAAATGAGTAACTATTACTATACATTTATTATTAAAGGATATATTAATTTTATGAGGATACTTTTTTTTCTTTGATTTAAAACAAATAGATGACGGAGTATTTTATATATATATAT